ATAAAAAATACTCTTTTTGCTATTGTTGGTAAGGTAAAGAGATTCTCCACCTCCACGTATGAAATTGACAAATATGAAATCACTGCATAAGAAGAATCTGATGATCATCCTGTAAGCAACCGGAAGCAATATTCCTGCACTTGAATTAAATTCGTGTACTTGTTTAGCATGGATAGATAAAACATATTTTCTACATAGGATCTGGTAACCATTTTAGTTTGTTTCATAGCGTTTGATTGAAGCTATTTTCAATAGACAGACATATCATATTAGCTTTTATCAATGGAATCCCAAAAGAATTAAAAGAAAAAAAAAACTCTAAAATTATATAGTTTTAGCAAAAAACTACAAAAAAAGAAAAAGAAAAAGAAAAAGAAAAAGAAAAAAGGCAAACAGTTTTATCTTTGTTCTTAAAAATATGATTTTTTTTAAAATTTATTAAAATAATATCATTTTAAAGTCTGCACTACCATTAATTGATTACGATGAGGTGACTCTATCAGTGATCCTTCTGAAAGGCGAATTGAAACCACCCGAATAACAAAGGTCGAGACACTCCATTAACCTAATAATTTTTTAAATTAAAGTCTTAATAATAGTTAACTTTTATAATTAATTAATTGCTTAAATAATTCACTGGTCAACACTTTTTACTAGAAGTAAAAAATTTTAAATTTGAATTATATGATAAACGAATAAAATAAAATAAAAAACGAGAAATGATTACTTTTTATTATATAATTAAAATAAAAAAATTATAATTATGTCTCTAAAACTCACTTATAAATTTCTTATCAACGTGAAATTTAAAGCATTGCACGCTTATAAACACTTTTCCCACATATAAGAAGTCTCAACTCAAAAACATTACTCTTCAATAAATATTTTAAAAAATTAACAGTTAAATTTAATGATTTACTCATATAAATCATGTAGTTTAAGTTTTAAATTGATTAAATATATCTTAAAAAATATAATTTCTTAATTGAAAGATAGTAAATGTTAAATTAGTTTAAAAATAAACATGCATTATCTATATAATGAATCATTTAATCCAATAATTAATTTTCCCAAAGATCAATTGAGAGATGATGTTTTTTATTTAAAACTCCATAAAATAGGGAATGATATATACTATATTTTACATATATATTTATAGCATATGACCTCTACAAACAAAACCAATCGCCACCCATCTACTCCTACTGTATTAGATGATTGACTGTACAAAAGAAGTTAATTATTTTGGGGCTGAAAAGGAACCCAAATCATTCTGGATAATGTAATGATCCGTACAACCATCTTCATGTCCAATGCATGAGATCTCATCAACCAAATTCTATATTCAAATTATTCGATTCGATTCCATGATATGATTAACAACAAGATTTTGATTAATCCACTAGTACTACGTACTGTAGAGTAGTTAATTAACAACACCTACTTCGTACTATTACATCGAATTATGCAACATCAATCAATCATATCTTGCTTCACATATTTCTGAAAATCTCATCACTCCTTTAATTCCTTGATATAATATATAGAGTCATGCTTTGCTTGCTGCGTATGCATTTAAAGTGGTTTTGATTTGATAAATTGAATGCTGGTTTTAAATTTACGTGGTCCACGAAGGGCTGGTGGTTGGAGTAGGGATCTTGCAGAAAAGGATGGAAGAGATATCTCAGGATTCTATGAAATCAAAATTAAAAGGACTGAAATCAAATCATAGAGATGCCCGAAAAGGATCACAAAGAGGATCACGAAATATCTGTGATTTGCGTTGATGTTGCTGCCGCCTGTGTAGCCTCTGCTCTGTGTATTTATTTGTGATGCTCAGGCCTGGAAAACGCTCTACCTTTCTTCTTCTATCTTTCTTTGTTTCTCCTTCTACATATAATAACATTAATTATTCAACCCTCTGGCCTCGCGCTATATATAGCCAGCTTCCCTCTGGCCCTTGATTTCATTGATATATCTCCTGTTAATGTTAACGTTAATGTGTATCAAAACTGAGTGAGAATATATGAATGGTTGTGGATCTTCCATGTCAAAGGAGATGGTGGATTCTGGAGATGAACCTCATGTTTTAGCTGTGGATGATAATCTCCTTGACAGGACGCTGGTTGAGAAACTGCTCAAGAAATCATCTTGCAAAGGTATATGTGTATATATATATATATAATAACTGATGTTGATGCTTTCCATCATTATTCTTTTACCTTCATTTCCTATGTAATAATTCTGGTAAAGTTAATGTGTGTGTATATATGCAGTGACCACCGCAGAGAACGCTGCGAGAGCATTGGAATTTTTAGGATTAAACCTGGATAATAATCAGCGGAATAACTCTGTAAGTGCTTAATTACCTACGTACATCATAATATTGTTAGATTAAATATTGCTGGCTGAAATTAGTTGAGTAAATTAACAGAGAGATTATATACGTATTTTTGTCAGGTTTCCAAGGTAAACATGATAATAACAGATTACTGTATGCCGGGGATGACAGGTTATGAGCTGCTTAAGAAAATTAAGGTATTTATTTATAGATTTTGGTCTTACTAGTCTTGAAGCATATATGCTAGTTTCATTAATAAATATTTTAACTTTCAGAAGTCAAAATGGACTTATATATTGATTCATTAAGTACTGTTTCTGTGTTGTAATTATATATATGTGTATACTTGGGCAGGAATCATCAATTTTTAGGGAAATTCCAGTTGTGATTATGTCATCTGACAACAGCCCAAATCGCGTTAACCAGTTGAGTAGTAATTTTAATTAACTTTGCTAATTTTGTTTCTGATCATCTTACAATTGGTTAATTATATTATTTACGTTCCTATTTATAACATCAAATTAATTGATTAAATATTTGTACGTGTATACATATATATACAGGTGCCTGGAAGAAGGTGCTCAGATGTTCATGCTGAAGCCCCTCAAACAATCAGATGTCACGAAGCTCAAAGGCCATTTGATGAACAGTAGAAGCTGAATTGATGAATTTGCTAAACCAAGCTAGTAATTAAATGGATGTCATATCTATCTATCTAATAGATATCTAATTAATTGCTTATGAACAACACAAAAAAAGATTAATTCTATCCACCGATGATTCAAATGAGTTTGGGTTTGGATTTGGAGCATACTTGTGGTAGTCGTTCATTGCCAGTATTTATTTTTTTTTTCTTTTCTTTTTGATGAAAATATAAATCCAAGTTAGGTAGCTAATGGTAGTATTTTTTTGACCAACAACTCGTTGTTCAGAATGGAAAGAAATTGATTCATTTAAATAGGATTTTGAGTTCGAATATTGTGAATAAAGAAACATACGCTAAAAGAATTTTCTCTTGATGAAGTACGACGTAACTCGGTTCTAGATTAATCAGATTTAGTATGATTATCAAATATCAAAAAATTAATATAAAAAAAAAGTAGTAATATTTTTTGTGAAATGCAGTAGAGCAGGATATCATACCAGCTCATATCACCAAACAGAGCCAGAAGAGATGAATTTAAATGAGTTAATTGACCATCATTTTTATTTTCCAACTATTGCAGTAATTGTTTTGGACCATTGGGCTTGGAAAATTAATTAATTTCCAGGCAAATGAAATAATTGAATGCAGCCGGCCCTGTGGCCGACAAATAAACACTGAATTAAATCCTAAGGTTGTACTATTAATAAATAATTATTTAATTTTATAAATAAAATTAAATATTTATGTTTTAAGATTACCATTTTAAAAAATATTTTTTTAAATAATCTAAAAAAATAATTTTAAAATACATAAAAATTAACTCAAAATACTTAATCATAAAAAAAAAAACCTCTTTTTTATTTTATTTTATTTCAAGTTTACACCATGTACCACCGATATATATAATCCGTTTAATTAATAAGCTAATCAATGGAAATCAACTTAATTTACTTCAAAAGACAGGGATGAATTAATTTAATGGAAATGCCTGGGGTAATGATGTCGGTGACGGCACTCGTCCCACCCAAAACACTGCATCACAGGGTAACAACACACGAACAAGCACCTTCCAAGCCCTCTAATTGCAGACCGCACTCGAACACCAGGACAACATGATGATAAACATGCACTACTTCTCCTCTTCCCCTTCCTCACCGCCACCGGATGACCACCGTCGTGGCTGCACATCGTCGATCTCTCTCACTTAATTATATATGACTGAAAATCTCTGCAACTAATTAATTGAACAATTTATCTATAAAAATAACTAAGAAAAGAAGCACATCTATTACTATATATGATGAAATCTGAATCGAGGAAATTAATTAAGAAAGCTCTACCTGGCGTACTTCTGCTGTATGTATGGATGGAGCTGCAGGTGAACTGGTTGAGGCTGGGGATTCTGGGAAGAAGAATCAAGCGACAAACCAATTATTATTAGTGTGTTTTGGAGAAAGGCATATTTGGGGGAGACCGAAACAAATTATTGTCAAATTCGTCGATTCTAAACTTCTACCTGTATGCCGCGTGCTTTGCGTGTTTGCTTAACTCTTTTCTTCAATAAAAATCAATAATAATAATTGGGTTTACTAAACAAAGAATCATTAAGTATTGATTATATAAAAAAAAAAAAATCCATTTTATCAGCTAAACTCGTGTCATAGATTGTAAAATAGAACTATTGAATTGAAATGGTTTTTTAATATTAGTGATGAAATTTTTATTTAGTAGTAATATTAAATAATTTAGATTATATAATATTTTTTTATTTTTTTATGAAAAGGTAAAATATATTGATATTAAAAAAATCAAAACATATTATCATAATTATTAAATGTGTTAAGTATAATATGAGATTTAATTTTATTAAATTCATCATACTCCAGTAGAGCTCATATTATTTTTATATATTTAATAATTATAATTAAATATTTTAATATTTTTAATACCAATTTTTCTTTTTGTCCTTTTTTTTTTTTTTCATGCAAAGAAATTAAAAAGTCTTCTCTCTCTATATATATATATATTTAAAAAAAAGAAAGGATATTTCGTTTCAAAAAAAAAAAGAAGAAAGGAAATTTGTAATCCCTTCAAGTTTTGATGGGCCAGTCGCAGTGGAATGTATCCAACTCCAATTTAATTGGCCCGACAGACCTAGAATGTTGATGGGCCTTGAAGAACAGCAAACATGTGGCGGCGTGGCCTCATTCGCAGTTCTCTGGACTCTGGAATAAAACCCGCCGTGGCCACCGGATAGAACAGAAACTCGCTGCGCTCTCATTCAATCCTGTCTGTTATTGCTAATGCTCTTCTTCCGGTTTCAACAATGGCAGCCCTGTTGGAACCAGCGTTGTTCTTCAACATGACCCCATTTCTCACCTCCAGAAGCTCTCAGTTTAATGAGATTCACCTCCCAAACTTACATTCCAAACCAATTGTCATTACCACTTGCTGTGCATCCACTCCACCTTTTCTGTCGTCTTCTACTCTTCCTGAAGATGCTTACCCAGAACCATTAAATAACTCCCCGGACCGAACCATGGATCGCCGTAAAGTCGTCCGACTAGCGTGGGAAAAGCTGGTTAGGTGGTCTCGTTCTTGGCGGTCCAAGGCTAAGACCGACATCCTTGAGCGCACCAATAAGGTTTCCTTTCTCTTTTTGGCTTATTAGAGAATTTTGGGTTCGCTTATCTTGTGCATTTCTCTTAAATACAACCAGGGTTTAGGAACTAAATTGCATTCTCGTTTCTTGTGTTCCATGAGGGGAAAAAAATTAAGAAAAGAAGAAGAAGTTGAGATTGATATAATCATCGGAGCATTTCTATCAAATTTAATTTCTTTCGATTATAAATCATGAGGGTGCAGACAAGTAGTAGTGAGCTTTATCATCTATCCACCATTGAAAGTTTCATTTTCACGATAATGGGGTTTTCAAAGAATCATGCTTTCCCTTTTCCTTTGATTCTCTTGCTAGCGTAGAATCCTACATAGCAGCAATACGTTGCCTGTGTTTTTATATTTGGTTCCTAGGTGGTGGTGCTAGGAGGAGGATCCTTTGGTACAGCAATGGCCGCCCATGTTGCAAATAGGAAGGCTCAATTGGAGGTTATCATGCTTGTCCGTGATCCTGAAGTTTGTCAATCTATTAACGACAACCATTTTAATTGGTGGGTTGTCTCTTCTTTTCAATTATCATCTTCCGTGAAAAAGGGCAGAAATTAACGTTCTTTGTCTTCTCTCTTCTCAGTAAGTACTTTCCGGAACACAAGTTACCAGAAAATGTGATTGCAACTACTGATGCCAAAACTGCTTTGCTTGGAGCAGACTATTGCCTTCATGCTGTACCTGTTCAGGTTTGCCTTCTTGCATTTCTTTCATGGTATCACATAAATATAATTCCCCATGATGTTCTCCAGTTATGTAGTGTTATGCTGTTTACTATGAGATTTCTTTGGCTTGTTTTGCATGCTGTGGCAACTTTCCTAAATGTTGCCTCTTGTACTGCAGTTCAGTGCATCTTTTCTTCAGGGCATTGTAGACTATGTTGATCCAAGCTTACCTTTTATATCCCTTAGTAAAGGCCTAGAACTCAATACCTTGAGGATGATGTCACAAATTATTCCCCAAGCATTGAGGAATCCTCGCCAACCTTTTATTGCTCTATCAGGCCCTTCCTTTGCATTGGAATTGATGAATAAATTACCAACAGGTGACTTACTTGTTTATGATGATTCCTATGCATTTTGCCAATTCATATCTATACACTTTTGAGTTGCTGTTGCAGCAATGGTGGTGGCCTCCAAGGACAAAAAGTTAGCAAATGCTGTCCAGCAGCTACTGGCTTCAGATCATCTAAGAATAAGCACCTCAAGGTAGAGGATCTTCATTACCATTCTAAGTAAATATATTGTTACCTTCTTTTCTTTTCTTTTTTTTAATGACAAGGATTTAAATTGACACCATATTGACTTGTTTCTGAGCATTTTCACATGCATCCCTATCTACAAATCATTTATATCTCCCTGATATACATGCTTTGTTTAAGCTTTGAATAATGGAATGTAGTTTTTGATAGTTTATTTTGTGGAGATCCACAGCCATATATATACATTGAAGTGCAAGTGTCGGCTTGTAACCTCTGATAACTCCAGGGATGTTACAGGGGTGGAAATTGCAGGTGCTCTCAAGAATGTACTTGCAATAGCAGCAGGGATTGTTGAAGGGATGAAACTTGGTAACAACTCCATGGCAGCTCTTGTGGCACAAGGTTGTTCTGAGATACGATGGCTGGCAACAAAGGTTTGTTTTAATTTGTTTGGCTTTTGAAAACTAGTTTGTCCTCTGTCTCCTCTTTCTACCCATTTTCTTGTTCCGCATTAAAACAAATATTTGTAACTGTAATTGTTGTTAACTTGTTATCTTATCAGTCTTTTGCTGCTGTTTATGCGTAGATGGGTGCCAAGCCAACAACAATTACTGGCCTATCAGGAACTGGAGATATTATGCTTACATGTTTTGTGAATCTCTCAAGAAACAGGACAGTTGGAGTTCGACTTGGATCAGGGGAAAAGCTTGATGATATTCTAAATTCAATGGCGCAGGTGCTTGTAAATGCATGTTGATTCTTAAACACTTGCTTATTTGTATGATTGAAAAATGGCCCCTTGCCACAGGTAGCAGAAGGTGTGTCAACAGCTGGAGCTGTGATTGCATTGGCTCAGAAATATAATGTCAAGATGCCAGTTTTGACAGCAGTAGCCCGGATTATAGACAATGAGCTAACCCCAAAGAAAGCAGTTCTTGAGTTGATGAACCTCCCTCAGGTATTCCCAACTCCCTTATCTCCATTGTATTTGATAACTCAAGAATTTTCTTTGACTCTTATTTACTTGGCTTCTCCATGTTGGTTTTTGTATAGAGAGCCGACTTCACCCCATTCCCTGGGTTTTCTTCATTGCTGCCGCAGATCTGTTAAGTGTTGAAATTTTACATTATTGTTTGTAGGTTGAAGAAGTGTGAAAGCTATGGTCCTTGTCAAGGAGAAAAAATTTTCTGTAAGGACAGATAAGAATTGCTAAATTGATAGCCAGTTGTTACCTTACCTACCATTTAACCAAGAGCTGCTGTAGTGCATCAGCTCATGGTGTCAACAGAGATCATCAATACAGAGAGGTGTTTTTTGTTTGTTAATATTTTTTGCCAGGAATGAGAATTGTGCCCCTTTCAAATCTTCCTCAGGAGATTGATTTTGCGAAACAAAAACAATGATACATGTTTAATTTTACAACGTATTTCCTTTTTTGCTGTCAGTACATGGATAAACTGTAAAAAGGATAATTGCTCATTCTCAGTTTAATTACTACAGTATATTTCCTTTTCTATTCTAGAGCAAAAAATGTTATCACCTTTTTCATTTTGAAAAAATATTTTGTAGTTTAAATTGTAAAACAATTACTCTTTAATTGGGGAGAGTCTCTTGATACTAAACTCTCATCTGCCATTGAAAAGTTCATGTTTGACAATCCAAGGTAACGTAAATTGTAAAATAGAGATTCTTTTTATTTTATAATCTTTAGCTGTGAAATTAAAATCAATCTTTTTTTCATCATATTAAAAAAAAAAGGTTCTCTTTTTCTAATTTTATTATGAATAACAGGTGAGAAATTCTTTAATAAATGAATTAAATAAATTATAATATAATTGTCTCAGCTTCTCAGATGGCCAACAAAAAATTAAAAGAAACAAAAAAAGCCAAAGAAAAGAAAAAAAAGAAAAAAAAAGGAAAAAACAAAAACACAACCGTTTTTAAAAACCGAAAAAACCCTAGGGGAAAGATGGAAACACCTCATCAAAATCTGAGAAGTGAGAAGCTAAAACCAAAAACCCCACACAAGGATTCCCTGAATCAGACAAGTGAAAGAAAGACGACGATACGAAGAACAAGGGAAGCGGAAACCCAAAGGAAGGAAAAAGAAGTAAAAAGAAATGAGCAAATCGAAAGGCATAGATAATGAAGCTTCCCAAATATTTGCTAGCTGCTCCTTTTCAAGCCTGGGTCTCCAACCCACCTTATGTGAGCAGCTTCGAGGTTAGTTTGTTCCATGCAATGGACTGAGTATCTTCTCTTGTTGCTTCCTTCCTTCCTTCCTTCCTTCCAATCCCACTTCAAATTATTATTCATTCATTCATTCCTTTCTGAGTAATTAATTCTGTTGACAGAAAGACTGGGTTTTGAAGCCCCAACAACAGTACAAGCTCAAGCCATCCCTGTTATTCTCTCTGGCCGTCATGTGTATCCTTCTTTTTTATTTTGACGACATCAAGTATTTATCAAGTTGTTCTCCAAAATCTTCACTTTTTTTTTTCTCATTTATTTACGAATTCCCCTTGGAATGCTATGCTTGTGTCCTTAATTGAAAATAATTGACAGACTTGTTAATGCGGAAACAGGTTCTGGAAAAACCATTGCCTATTTAGCTCCCATTATTCATCACTTGCATGGTTACAGTCCCCGAATTGAGCGTTCTCATGGTACTTTCGGTATGTGTTTTTACGTTTCCATTCTGAATCATGTGTTATCCAGCCCTGAAACTGTTTGTGTTTGCTCTCAATTCTTGCAATTTTCACTCTATCTATTAGTTTCACCGTGCCTATTATTACTTTTTGGCGGAATTGATATCTTTGTGATAGCGTTGGTACTTGTACCAACGCGTGAGCTATGCTTGCAGGTTTATGAAATTCTGCAGAAGCTATTGCACCGTTTCCATTGGATTGTTCCTGGTTATGTAATGGGTGGCGAAAACAGGAATAAGGAGAAAGCCAGACTGCGCAAAGGTGCAATTTTATCAAAGCTTTTTTCATTTCATTAAATCGTGTAATTTATATAACTATTCCTTACTGTCTACTGCAGGCATTTCTGTTCTTATTGCAACTCCTGGACGCTTGTTGGATCACTTGAAGAATACATCATCTTTCTTGCATAAAAATTTGCGTTGGATAATCTTTGATGAAGCAGATAGGTATGTTTATTATTTGAGGTTGATTTATTCTTCTTCTTTTTCAAGTTTTAACTGTCTTTTTCTGTGTGTTCTGTCTTGATGTTTGTTCTGTACCTTCAATTGACTCTGGCCTATTCATTTCAGAATACTGGAACTGGGCTTTGGCAAAGATATCCAAGAGATACTAGATATTTTGGGTTCTAGGCAAAGCAAATCTGCTGAAAAGGGGGAAACCCCTGGGTGTCAGAGGCAGAACTTGCTATTATCAGCAACTTTAAATCAAAAAGTAAACCATCTTGCTAAAATTAGTTTAGAAAATCCAGTTATGATTGGTCTTGATAATAAGAAGATGCAACCAGATCTATCCCTTGATCAAACTGGATCCCTAGGGTCAAATTTGGATGAGGAATTTGATAACACATGTGAGATGGTGAGTACTTCTGGTTCTGCAGACTATAAGCTTCCTGCTCAACTGATTCAGAGATATATTAAAGGTAGATGTTGATCAGAAGTGTTCTTTTCTCTCTCTCTCTCTCTCTCTCTCTGTGTTTGGTTCTGGATTAACTTTTTGCTATTAGAGATTAATATTGGCAACTCAATTGAAAATTTATGCAGTATCCTGTGGTTCACGACTTGCTGTACTTCTATCCATTTTAAAATATCTTTTTGAGAGAGAAGCTTCCCAAAAGGTATGGTTATGCTACAATTTCTTAATTCTTATTTTTCCTTCATTGTGTTGTGCCTATAGTTTTACTTATTTAAGATGCTCTTTGCAGTGTGAAACTGAACCTAGGGAATATCTCTCTAGTATTTTCTATTGCACTCTAGGCTTATTGATTAATGTGCTTAGGAATCCTGGCTGACTAATTATACTCATTAACTATTTGGAATAATTGGTGACTTGATGGATGACCGTTTTATTGCTTCTCCTGTCTTATAGGAAATTAGCTGGTGTGAAATAGACTTGCTAGCTTATATGCTAGCTCAACCTAATGACTCACATACTTTTTCTTTTCTCTCTCTATTTTTATTTTTTTACTTGTTTATTTGTTTATTTTATTTTCGTATGTAGACTCACAGACTCTTTTTACAGGTTGTAGTATTCTTCTCAACATGTGATGCAGTTGACTTTCACTACACGTTGCTGAGTGAATTCCAGTGGTCACCCTATTCAGAAGCAGAAACAGAACTTAAGCAGATGTTCCTGCGATGCAAAACTTTTCGATTACATGGGAATATGAAGCAAGAAGACAGGCGAACCACCTTTGGGGCATTTAAGACTGAAAAATTAGCTCTTCTCTTGTCTACAGATGTTGCTGCAAGGGGATTGGATTTTCCAAAAGTAAGATGTATCATACAGTATGATTCTCCAGGGGAGGCTACTGAATATGTGCATAGGTATCAGGAGACATTTTCCTACAGGGATTCTTTATATCTTCCGCTACTTATAGATCTTATTTACTTTGCAACTTTTTATATTGCAGACCCATGCTTTTAATCTATAGTTTCTGTTTAAAAATGTTTAATCACTGTTTTTTCACATCATAAAATCATACCTCCTGACCTTTTATGCAGGTTTAATTTAGTTTATCAACACATGGAGGTTATACTTAGCTTATTACTTTGGATGCTTCCAATTAAATGGATATCATAGCAATCATTCTTTTTTCAGCTATCATGTCATCATTCAAATGCTTCTATTTGCTGATTCTGACTCTCCAACGAAGTTTCTTTCTCTGATACGTAGTTTGATTTCAAAGTTCGAAAAATTTGCTTTTGATCAGTGGTTCAAATATACATTTGTAGTTATTGGTGTAATCCAGCTTTCTGAATAGCGAATATTTGTGTTGTGTTCGTAAATAGCATTGCACCATCAAGGCTTAATTAGATGATCCATAGAATCTTGATTCTAACTTTCAATCCATATGCAGAGTTGGTCGGACTGCTCGACTAGGTGAAAGAGGCGAATCATTGTTATTTCTACAACCGATTGAAATAGATTATTTACAAGACCTGGAGAAGCATGGTGTCTCCTTGACAGAGTATCCACTTCTCAAAGTATTAGATGGTTTTCCATTGTATGGTCATGTGCTCCGTGGAAAGAAGTTTGTTTTACTGGAATCACATCCTTGGGTGCTGTTGCTGCAGAAGGAACTTGAATCATTTATTTCAGCTGAGGTTTGAATTCTCCTTTGTTTCAGATAAGAAGGCCTGTTTAAACTTACCTAAAAATTCTATATTCCCTCCCCTCTTGTCCATTACCCTCAAACCAAAACATGCTGTTAGTTCCCCCCAATATTGTTATTATCTTTCCCAATATATCTATTTGTCTGTTAAATAATGATTTTGAGTTGATCTTTTCATGTGCTTTAAACTAATGCTTTCTCCCTTCTATTATTTCTCAGCCAAGGATTAAGAAGCTATCGAAGAATGCATTTTGCTCTTGGATCCGTGCATACACAGCCCATCGTGGTGAGCTAAAAAGAATTTTCATGGTGAAAAAACTTCATCTAGGACATGTTGCAAAAAGCTTTGCATTGAAGGAGCAGCCATCATTGGTTGGAAAATCAGAGTCCAAGAAGAGGAAGAAGGATCATAAGCAGAAAGGACTATCAAAAAGAAGGAAGATTACTGGTAAAGCATGAAGGTGGAACATGAAGAAATTGAAATTAAGTGGCAAAGTTACAAGTTGCAACGCAGATGCTCAGCTTGTACCTTGTACCAAAGGATCAACACAAATGAGGCAGTTTCAGGCAATTGACCTCATTGGACCCAGTAACTTGTGCAAATATGCTGCCTCTTTATCTTTAATTTTATTTGTTATTGGGGCTTATGGATATTCAGTCAGGTAACATTAAGCATATATAATGTATGTCTACAACCATAGGTCTTGTTTTTTTCGTTTATTTATGCCAATCCAGTATTACAGGAAAAATTTTTGATTTTGAACTCGGTATATTTTGGTCTTACCAAGTTGCCAGGTAAAAACTCATAAGATGAGTATTTTCATTACTATTGGAGCACTATATTTCCTCGATGCAACCTTTTCTTTCTTTATTTACTATTTGGTAAGAACCTCCCAATGTGTATCAGCTACAGGAAAAGGCATGTAGCCATTGTTGTAAAGATTGATAGCGTCTTCCCAAATTATCGGAGTATCTCTGTAGAAATGAATAATTTGTAGTGAAGATTCATAATTTTCTCCAAGCCACCAAAAACGCAACCTCCGCAAATCCTTTCCATAGGAAACTCATTCAAAAGGCCCAGATACAGGAGCTTTCCGACAGTTGTGGTATTACACCCAAGCTGTCCTCTTTCTCATGTCTGCAACTTCTGCTGACATTGCAACCTGCAGAACATGGTATATGTCAATAAACATTATAATTAGTTTAACAACATGCATAGATCCTCAGCCTTTTAATTTTGAAGAAACAACTTGGTAATAATATTATATCTCTTATTATGTAAGTAAACATGTTCCTTTACATTTGTGCCTTGATTTTATTTTTCTATTTTTTTGTTTATGATATTCAGTTCATTGAACTTTTCTAAATTTGATGACAATAGGCCAAATTACAAAAGGAAAAGAGAAAGTTCAGTTATTTGGAGCTGGTACAAAGGAAGGAAGCTATTAAAGCAGGCCTCTCTTTCATTTGCCATCAGTCAGTCAAATAGTCCGTAGAATCATAAGCTCCAGCTTCCCAGAAAAGCAATGTATTTAGACTAACCTTAGGATAAGTACTCACCTAGATGATCAGGTTCCACGGAAGGAACGGACACGATCTTGTATCAACTTCCTCTCCCAGTCTGCTACGTCCTCAAAGGCATGTTCTGGAAGACTCTCAAAGGGCTCCTTCCATGGATCATTCTTAGCCAGATCATAGGTAGCCCCACGTATTGCCCTTTTATTGGGTCCACAAGGTCTCTTTGATGTTAGTGCATCATATGCTGTATTCAGCTGCCATCGAAAAAAAAAAAAAATCATTATAGCAGGAAAATGAATCACTGTATTTCAGATAAGTTTGTACTTGAGAATTTGGAGCAGTCTACACTCCCACTTGTCTACAAATTAAACCAGGAGTGCTACACTTGAAACATGTCAAAAAGATGCTTGGTAGCTTATAGGACTGAAAAGACTCACATTCATGCCACAGAACCAGAACATGTAAGCAATGCCAACTGCAGGGGCCCTTCCCAGTCCAGCTGTGCAGTGCACATATACTTTTCCTTTTCCCTCAGAAATGGCCCATTCCAATGATGATACAGCTTTAGGTAATTCCCTTCTCAATGAATCAGGATCAAAATCTCTTGCCTATCAATTCACGGGATAAATGTAATAGAACGAGCCAAAGCAACCAAAACAGCCATTTGAAAATATGAAAGAGGACATGAAGCAACTAGCAAGTGTGATAACATCATCGCTAAAACAAAAGAAACTAATAGAAAAGCAATAGCAGTCCTTCAAATTTGACAGTGGAAGCTTCTTGGGTTAACACGAAGTCATTAGTACTAGAAAAGAAAATTTCCTTACAGGCCTTCTCATATGGCGGATTCCAAGTTCCTGACATGTTTTTATTATGGACTGCAAGTCAATTCCCCAGTACTCAACATCCTTGTCCTGCTGCAAGTTCAGAACGTAAGCCACATTCTCTTCCTGTTTCAGATGATCTATATCTTGAGGCTTCTGAGGTTGCGAACCCACAATCAAGTTATCAGTTATCAGTGTGTAGTTCATGCCTGAAAACAGAATACCTGAGAAATGTGAATAATCACATCTACTGTATCTTTAGTTGGAAAATTGTACAAGTACCTAAAACTGTCTCCAAGACTCCAACTCTATTAATAGATTCAAATGATTTACACCACAAAAAGGCTAACTTTTTGGCTTACCTAAAACATACTGTATAAGAAAACATTAGGGTCTCAGAATCAAAGGCTATCCGAATCCTAGTAACATGATTTAGAATTGATTTGGTTTTTAAAAAGTAAAAATGAATACAACACAACAAGACACTTAAAGATTTGTCTTATTTCAAAGCCACAAAAGCAGGATACAACTTGGATAAAGAAAATGCTGAAAGGCAATGAAATAGTGAAAAGCAAGAGCATTTGAGATTAGAGAAAAACTAACCCAGATCATGGTGATATTCATATGGGTTCCTCATCATCCTCTTCATGGCCCTGTTGTACTCTTCCATCCTGTTCTTGGAACTGACAGAGATTTCACTGTTTCCGAGGTTGTCTTCAATCCCACTTTGGGACAGCTTACAAGAAATTCTACCCATCTTGAAGTGGCTATTGGAGTTGGGGATCAAGAAATTGCATTTATTAGATTTCTTCTTGCCAAACAACACTTCATTTTCAGGTGGGTATGAAAGCACTGAGGAGAAGCCACTGCAACCACTGCCACTCCCTATCCCTATCACACTACTCATCTCCTGGATTCTACTGTTCCAGAGATTTGTATTGGATTTCATTGCCTGGTTGCCTCTGTTTATATCTTTAAGGTGATTTGACTCTATTGGCCTTTGTTGACATTTTACTGTACTGTCCTTACAACTTTATCCATTTTAGGCTTTGCCTAGTGGTTTGCAAACAACACATCCAAGGAATATGTTCGAACTGTCACCAAGAACTTCTTTGATCACCTTTTCCCTTCTTTTTAGTTATATAATATACGTTTTGAGAGCTAATTGGAGCATTTGGAAGCCATTAATCTTCTTCTAGCAAGGTTCACCTTTTTATTTTTTAGAATAAAATCTCTCTAATAAACATACATGGTACTTGTAATGGAAACCTAACTCAAGCTTGACATTAAACGTCTGGATTCCTTTGTATTAAACAAGTTTGATCACGTTGTGATGAGCTATGTATAGAACCCCACTTATACAACACAAGGACAGGTGTGTGGTGTTCGCTTCTTATCCTTCAATTCATGAATCCCCACTTAAAGATTGCAAACAAACAAGGGTGCAACGAGTTAGTGACGGTTTGTTTGGGGGAATCTTTAAAATGGGCCATTAAAATGCTTTGTATTATCCACAACAATCAGCCTTAAAGATAATCTCTGTTAATCCAATCATTATCAACTGTTTTCCCCATAAATTAAAGAGAAAGAGGGGTCTGTTATCTTTATCTTGTCTTTTGTATTGTTTAATTTATTATATGCGCAAAAAGAATAATATAAAAAGGGAAGGTACTAAAAGGACTAATCACAGATCACTCTGGATTAGGAAATGAAATTCTCTAGCACAATGATTAATCTTATTGCATTAGAAAGGGAATTTAGTTTAGATACAGTGACTAGAATTTTGTTTAGTTGCCCCACTAGTGTATTTGTGGACCATTTTGCAGGTGCAGCGCAGGGCCAGAAATGAACCCGAAACCAATTTTCCTTTTGAAGTCAATTATTTTAAGAAAGAAAAGGACTGCCACTGAGAATTGAGAAACACACCTTAAACAATAGTAATCCATGACATATCATTGATTTGCAACTTGTAATTCTTTAAAAATTAGTTGAAATAAAAACTTGAATTTTGAGTTTGGTTGTCATGATGAGCTTGGTGGCTTGAGGATCAAACAAAAAATTCTTTTTAGAACATTTTTAATGTTATATATGAACAATGATAAATATGACGAAAATTTGAGATTAAAATTTAAAATTAATAATGTGATATAAATCTTGTCATTTAAAATATTAAAAGGTAAATATTATATTATTTAATAATTAATTTTTTATTTTTTAAAACTTGTAATATTATATATATTAACTAATTTAATAATAAAACATATACTGTTAACTACTTAAATAATTTAGTAGTAATTTCTTTTCGTTAAAAATAAAAAATTTTTAATTTAAATTGCATAACATGTGAGTGATGTGAGATAAAAAATAAAAAAAAAATTACCTTTCATTATACAACCAACATTTTAAAAAAAATACATATATTACGTATATCACGTCATTAATATTAAATTTTTGTCTTACTTATCTCTCTGTCTCTCTATCTATATATATATATGTTGGGTTTTACCGAAAGTTGATCTACTACTGTCCCACTTCTGATGCTCTTAGCTCCTGCTCATGACAGATGGACATGATTCTAAGTTCTAACATCATGGAATCGACATTCAATCACACAACCTTAGAATTATGCTTTAATTCCATTGCCTAATTGCTTCAATCAATGCTGTCTAGAAACTGTCTCACTCCAATTATCAAAAAAGTAGGCATTTCCCTTTTAAGATGAAAGGAATTGAAGCTAGGATCTGTGCATTTACAGTAAGATGAAAACATACAAGACAACCCACATTGCACAATAATTATTGCCACGAAATCCAAATATTAAACACAAGATTATTCCTTAGTATCTGATGACCGACAATAATTAAGATTTAAGAAGATGGATGTGTGGGGCAAAAAGGCAGACACATGACTGACTATATAGAAGTAGTGTTTATTACTTTTTACATTTCCCTCTTCAACAATCCATTCTTACAATATATGCTAATGCTAGCTCTTAGAGGAAGATACATCCTAAACTTGCTCAAGTTCTACTGCTTTTGTTTCTTCCCTATCTTGTCTGTTTACCAAGGAATGTGCCCCATTGAACCCACCCGCTCTCCTTTTTATGACACCAAACTTCACCAATGCCTCTTCTCCCCACTCCCACAAGTGCAAAACAATGTAAGTACCAATGCCACCAATCAGCCCATATGCAATTGAATACGTCAAAGGCATCAGGATCAGAGTCACGAAAGCAGGGATTGCCTGCCTCATATCATTCCACTCTATATCCGTAACCGCCCTCATCATCAGCACCCCCACCAAAATAAGTGGCGGACCCACCGCCCAACCCGGTATTGAAGCCAGCAACGGCGTGAAGAAAAACGCCAGAAAGAAGTACGCCGCCACCGTTAAAGCCGTCAGACCCGTGCGACCACCTTCTCGTATACCTGTTGACGACTCGATGAATGCCGTCACCGGTGATGTTCCCAGCAAGGACCCCACCACAATGGACGTGGCATCGGACATGAAGGCAAAGTACTGACCCTCGAAATCACCCTTTTCGTCGATAAAACCGGCAAATCGAGCCATTGAATAGAGTGTTCCTGTTGTGTCCAATATGTCAACGTATAGAAACGTGACTAAAGCTTCCCAAAAGTAGGCTTTTCCGATGCTTTTAAAACTTAGCGCCCCAGCAGTACTCCGTATCAGATGAATGTCAACTACCTTCTTAAAGTAGTCATGAGCTGAGTTTCCAGCATCCGTGTTAGGAAACTCCGTCACTTTTGTGTTACGGAACCAAGACACCGCCGTCACAAATACTATACCGTAGATCATGGCACCCTTGATATTTTTCACCAAGCAGTACGCAATTATGACGAAGCCGATGATACCTAACCAGAACGTCGGGCTTTCCATTCTGCCATTGAGACACAAAATACTGCCGGAGACGGTTCCGCCGGGGATCAAGCTAACGGTGCCGTTTGCCTCCGTTACCACTGGAGCCACCGACGCCAGGGAAGAGCTCGGACAGGCACCCAGTGTCACCAGCGTGGACGAGCTGTAAGCGATTAACCCGATCCCCTGGTTGTTCTGTAACCCAATAAATGCCAGGAACAGCCCGATTCCAGCGGATGAGCTGATCCGTACAGGTTTGGGAATCAACTTAGCTAATTTGGCCCGCAACCCGATTGCTGAAATTAACAGAAAGATCAAGCCTTCCATGAAGACAGCCGCCAGAGCACTCTTGTAAGAAATGTTGCCCGACCCGTGAAACCCAACAACAGTGTAGGCGAAATAGGCGTTTGTTCCCATCCCAGGGGCCAGAGCCAGGGGTAAATTAGCGAAAGCACCCATGATTACGCACCCAATTAGCGACGAAGCAACGGTGGCCACTATAAGATCCTTGCGTACTTTCTCCAAACATTTGGCATACCCCGGGTTAACAGGATCGAACTTGCAGGATTCGTCGGGTTGGACTACCCGGAGATTCTGTCCGTTACAGTTGGAAACTGCCACGGTTGGGTCCGAACACAGGGGAACGCAGTCGGACACGCTGCAGGGGCCCCCTGAATCTGTGAGGATAGAGGCGTTAACGGCTAAGATGTAAGCCATGGTGAGGAATGTGGCAGTACCGGCCCTCAACTCGGTGGTGAACGTTGAATTACGCTCGGCGAGTTTAAAGTACTTCCCAATTCTACTATTAGATACCGCCAAGTTAAGCCTTGTAAGCAACTTCTTAGGCGGAGGTGTTGATTCCGGTTGAGACTCCATGAGCATGAAAGAAGGCTAAGAAAATTAGGTAGTGAAGAATGGTTTGGGTCTGGGGCATGCATGCGGGTGTGACAATATATATACACAAACAGTGCGAACCAGGGTAGTATCCTACTGATTTTTGAAATCAGTGGAAATTATGATTCTAAACTGAGGGATACAGAGAAGAAAATCCTTTTTCCAAAGCAAAAGTATCAACAAGGTTCTTTGGATTTTTGAATTTGAGCCCTTAATTTCAGGGTGAACTAATCATTTTGTAATTTCTATTCTATCTCGACCCTGTATCCACCTTCAATTGATGGATGTTTTGAAGCTTTTAAATTGGTGGAGTTGTGAAAATGTCAATCACTCAATTGTTGTGCTACAGCATGTTACATGTTGTCGAATCTTTAAAGGTAAAAACATTCACCATCTCCTATGACAATTAATCGATCTTGACATATGTGATGTAGACCACAAGCGTGCAATGTGCTTTCAAAATCTTGGGTGACAACAGATCAAATGTTAAAGCGAATGCAACGTTACAGCGCGCAGCATGTTGCTATAATCTTCTGTTATGATGCTAACAGGATCACCAATCTTGTAAGTAAATTTAAATTTGGAATTTTCAAAACCATTTATATTGGAATTATGATAAAAAAAGGTAAAAATTTAAGACCAATAACATAATTTATGTCAAGTCATTAAATTAATTGATATATACAATATCATAGATTTTAAAAAGTAAAAAAAATTAATTATTAAATAATATAAAATTTATCTTTTAATATTTTACATTACGTCATTATTTTTATATTTTATTCTTATTTATCATTATTTTTTATTTTGACTTAATTTCAATATTCTTATTATGCGAAATAAAATTAATATTTGCATCCTCACCTTTCAATTCTAAATTGACTTCACCAACCGGAAAAGAGTTGGTTAGGGATGCCAAGGAAATTGGTTTGAAAATATTGGAGAAAGAATATGCAAAACCATATTCATGCTAAATCGAAATGTTTTCAAAGTTTGGTGGGAGGGATATGAATACAAAGGTTCTTTTGAAGCCAAATATGGTATCCCAATGGATCCTAAGCATAATGTATATAGTTTATCCACTTCTTAGTGCATTGCTTAATTAATTGTAGTCAACCAAAATCAATTCCAGCACATGAGCTGGGGTTCCTTCATTTTTGGTCTGGATCGGATGAGTTAAGTCATAAGTAGTGGTGGGTATGCAACTTCAGGGCAGATATTTTGCAGCTTTTGGAATTGAATTGAATGCTTCTGCTACATACTTCTATAGACATATAACCTAGGTTTCTGATCTCATGTTCAAAATAACTTTTCCTTTATCCCCATTTCCCCTTGATTTACACACACACCCTATTAATTATTGGATTTTTTTGAATTTTTCTTATCCTCATAATTCCACTAAAGAATCAATGGAGAAGGATTGCATTCTAGTACTGGCTGACATAACACTCATATTGTGTACCAAAATTTGGTCTTGTGATAATGATGATGACAAGCACAAGAATAGTGACCATTGCCAAAACTCCCTGGTGGTGGCAGCAAGTGGGGGGCATTGTCAAATTCATAAATACAAATTAATGTATTGATAATGAAAATTTTGAGTGAAAGCAACATTCATAATGGAGATTAAGAAGTTTATATATTGCCCGCTCCCCCCGTCCCGATTGTTTTTTGTTTGATTATGAAAATCCTTAAATTTTAATATGTCTAATTAATGGAACATTGCTTGATATCTGCATATAGGAAAAATAATAAAAAGATAAGAAAAGGAGGTAAATTAATGATTACTATAAAATAGTGTTGATTAATGGACCCACAGATTCCATGTTATGGAGCTTTGAGTGGTACAAAATGAACAAAAGCAGTGAAAGGTGAAAGTACAAGAAGTTTGTTATACCTCATTTGTGGATTTGGGGAAAGAATCGAAAGATCCCATTTTCCTTCTTTTGTTCTTTACTTTCTTTTTTTTGTTTTTTCTTTTTTGAAAAAGAAGCTACCTATCTGGATGTCACAAAATAAAAAATATAAGTTATGGTATTTTTAATGACCACTTTTTCAAATACTTGACACGCTTCATGTGAGTATTTTCAATGCTGGAGTTGCATTTTAAGGCCCTAAAAGTTTCTGGTTTTAAAGTAGAAGACAATAACTCGAGATTTTCCACATCACCGGAAAGTGACTGCATATCTAGTGAGCTGTGAGTATATGCCTCTGTGTGTGTGTGAGAGAGAGAGAGAGAGGAATCCAACCAAAAATCTCAAAGCATCTCAACACACACAGATCCAGACCTAACTCAACTATCTGTCTTATTACTACTATTGTAACCAATAAAAAGATAGCCGAAAAGGAAGAGATTATGTATATCATGACACAGTTTCCATATACAAAAGACACATGTATATATTTTTTGTATATATATAAAGAGAGAGGAATAGGTGGCTGATTTTGAGCATAAACAAGGTGCATGATGGAAATGAAACTATGGGAATCTCTTGATTGCTTTGCTGTTCGCATTGTGGAATCAAATATGAACAACTTTCAAGTTTTGATGGGGATGGGAGGCCATGTGCCCAACTTGGATGAGTATACTCCTACTTTTTAATAAGTTAGCAGCTTAATCAGCATTTAGCAAAGGCAAGAAAAAAGAAGTGATCATGTCATTTCAGATTCAAGCTTTATTAGTCTTATTTCCAATGAATGAGATAGTACTAGGAGCTTGTAATTCTGTGGGTATATTATCCTTACTTTAAAATATTCACATCAATTATTCATATATATATATGCTTCAACATGTCAACTCCTGATTGCCTTGCTTGCTGCCACGTTTTCAATTGAAATTAAACTTGAAATTAATTCTCCACCCAACAAAAACTGATATATATATTTTTGGTACATTTGAGGATAAACTCTTTGGCATAATAGCGTTTGAGTTATTGACTTTAATCTCAAATCAAAATTTTTAAACTAATAAGTATCAAATCAGTTAAATTCTTATTAGTCAAGATATACTGATATACCACAAAATGTCAATAAGAATAAATATTAAGTCGGCTAACTTTTTATTGGTCAAGATATATTAATATACCACAAAATGTCAATAAGAAACAACAAATTAATTAACTGGATAATTAACCACTTTAATTTAAGCACCCCTCAACACGGGCAAAATTGATTTAGGTACGTACGGTGTGATTAACAGGACAAACACACTTCCTTTTTTTCTATTAGCAAAAACAAAAAATTTTATTAAAGAACAAGTACAGGATGCTCCAGTCCCTTGCAACATAATAATAATAATAATAATATGAGGTTTATAAACCTGAGAAACTTCCACCCAAATCTAGGAAGAAATTTAAGTCAACACACTGAAAAGGGAAAGGAATGCAGATGCCTGCAGCTCAACTTGCCCAAGCCCATACAATGTCACTCAGAGCTGGTCTTACATGCTGTTTCAACATTTCCAGGTACTCAAATGTATCACCACACGACTTCCTCATCTCTACCAAATGAAAAGATGGGGTGAACTCAAATATTTCTGCATCAATGCTCAATTCCCTCATTCTGCCTTTACTTGATCTTTCCAATTTCATTACCCCTCCGCCCTTCTTAACTGTCAGACTCAGATTACCAGCAATCTCCTCCAGTTTATCCACGATTGTTGAAGCAGGGTGAGGGGATGTGAATTTTATATCTTCCTTGGAATCACTTTCAGCAAATAAACCAGACAAATCTAACCCACTTGATAGAGATATGATATCAAAGGCATTCAGATTAGTGGGCTTAATCACCTCTTTCTTTGAATTGACTTCCAATGACGAATCAATAACCTCACAAGGGGCAGAAACTGCGATGCCATCCTGCATACCCAATTCCTTTGATTCTGTTTTGCCTCTTCTCATGTGTCTGGAGTTGAATCCCCTTTTGAACCAACGATTTTCCATTATTTTTCCAATTGAAATCCTAGCATTAGGATTAGGGTCGAGAATTCTTGACAGAAGCTTGCGAACATCATTTGAAAACCAATTAGGAAAACTGTATTCTGCCCTGCTTATTTTCTGGTACATTGCTATTAGATTTGAATCATGGAACGGGAGATAACCAGCCAGTAGAACAAAGAGAATCACTCCACATGACCAAATATCAGCTTTGGCCCCATCATAGCCTCTTCTGTTCAAAACTTCAGGTGCAACATATGCAGGAGTTCCGCAGGAAGTGTGGAGCAATCCATCTTGATGTTTAGTTTCAGCAAGGGCACTCAACCCAAAATCTGACACTTTTAGAGTTCCATCTTCATCCAGTAGCAAGTTTTCAGGCTTTAAATCCCGGTGATAAACACCCCTTCTGTGGCAAAAATCAACTGCACTAATCAATTGTTGAAAACACTTTCTTGCCACATCTTCCTTTAGCCTTCCTTTTGCTAGCTTGCTAAAAAGCTCACCCCCTCTGGCATATTCCATAACAAAGTAAATGTTGGTTTTGCTAGCCATGACCTCATAAAGCTGCAATACATTAGGATGTTTAACCATTCTCATAACAGATATCTCCCGCTTGGTTTGTTCAATCATCCCAACTTTCAATACCTTCTCCTTGTCAATGACCTTAATTGCCACACTCTGACCAGTTGTAAGGTTCCTTGCATGGTAAACTTTAGCAAAGTTTCCCTGCCCTAAAAATCTCCCCAACTCATACTTTTGCATCAAAACCTTCCCCTTCTTCTCCATTGTTAAACAGGATACAAACCTAATATATGCTTCAACTTTTTCTTTTTTTTTCTCCTCCTCTAATATTATATTGTCTATGGGGCAGGAATGCTAGATCTGAAGAATTCAACCGTCTTCACTGAGGTCACGCTTCAGCATGACAAAAATTTTGTTTGTAATTATGTCATCCATTTTGACAGAGCGCATGAATCTGCTGTTAGTTGAGCATCCATCCCCAACAAGAATGACTAGAGGAAGTTCATGGGGAGAGATTACATTAAAGGCCTGGGAGGAGGAATTAACAGCATTTAAACCCATCTTTCTGCATTCCCTGGTACCTCTGTTTGAATTCTACACAAAAGAAACAAAGAGCCAAGCAGAACAAGAAATCAGTTAATGTAGCAAGCAACACATCTCTCAACCAAAACCAATAACAAAGGTAATAGGCAGATAATAATTACAAAATTACATAAAATGCAGAAAACCCACCAAAGCAAAAAATTGGGAAAAAGGAAATTATGGCCTTAGTTATACAAAAGTGCAGAGAAACAGAAAACTAAAATTTGAAAAATTATAAAGAAGCTTGATCAAAAAAAAAAAAAAAAAAAAAAAAAAGCGGATTCAATGAGACAAATATCCAAACATATATTGGAGAACAAGACAGGATGCATCCCCAGATCCTAACAAAAGTTAAAGGAATATCCAAACTCAGGCGCAGATTCACACAATTAGATAATCAGAGATTGATGCAAAAGCCTAATTCTACATCTAAAGTTATGACAAATATCGAAAAGCCCAGAAACTTAACTGGACTGAAGATCAAGAAAAGAACAAGCAAACAGGAGGGCACAGAAAAAAAAAATGAAATTCAAGGGAAAAATTAATAAATAAGCGAAAACAGTACCTTTGAAGTTTGAAGGGAGAGAGCAACAAAGGTTGGAACTTTGAACGGAACAGAGGGCTTTGAGGAAGGAAGAAAAGGTTTGTGCTTTGAACGGTAGAGAGGTTCTTGTGGGATTTGAGGAGGGACGGAGAGAAACGAACGAGATTCACCATACTATATAGCTACAACTAGTACAATTTTGTAACAGTAAAAGCTCTATTTTGATTCCTGTATTTTAATGAAAATTTTTAAAATTTTTGTACTTAAAAATTTGTTTTTAAATCCTTAAAATTTGTTGTTTAACTATTTTTTAAGTCTCTTTATTATTATTTTTATATATGTAACATATTATATAACAAAATTTTAAGAGATTAAAAAAAAAATTTTTTTAAGTAAAGAGACCAAAAAAATTTTTTTTAATCCGTATATAATAATTTTTTGTTATCTAATATATTACATATGTAAAAAAAATAACTGAAATTAAAAAAACTAGATAATAAACTTTAAATTTTAAAAAGAGAATTTTTTTTAAATAAATAGATTACAAAATAACTTTTTATTAAAGTAAAAAACCAAAATAAAGTTTTAACTTTTTGCAATTTGCAATGTCTTACTACTTGTTTGATATTAAAATTAAAAAAATTAATTATTTAAATAACAATAAAATTATAAAAAAATAATATAAATAATTATTCTTAAATCATTTTTCATTATCAATATATTCTACTACAAAATTTATAAGCTTTTTTTAGGACTCTTTTTTAAGAAAGTGTAACATATTATAGTCAATTATATCTCATTAACCTTAGTTAATTATTTTTCAAGGTAAGTTAATGTTAATTCCCAAATTTGATTTTCTTCCTTAAATTCTACTTTCATAAAAATCTCAAACCAAACTCATCTCGAAGGTTCTCATCCACAAGCCAAATGACAGCCACTGACTTCGTAGGGGGACATCCATTGGGACATCTTGAATCCCTCGAATCCCAGCCTCTCCTTTTCCCTTCCTCCATAAACAATAAATAACAACTTTTGTTTTTTGTTTTTTTTTTTTTTATAAGAATTAAGCTGTAAAGCTGCCAAATGAAATCAATGAGAATGACAACTCAATTCAAATTTTTACTAAAGTAGGTATTTTCGTTAAATATAATTTAATTTGATTCTATAAAAATTGCAGAAAATTTTTACAACTAGAACTACTCTAGAATTTACTGCCAATTCCTTACTCCAAAGCGATTTGGTCAATTTTTTTCTTTTAACCATTGAAAATAAGATTCCAACCTCTCATCTAAAATTAATATAAAAATTTTTTATAATAAATTAATAACCATTAAATGACAAGGTTGATTTTCGATTCGATCAATTATTTATTTCCAAAAGGGGTCAAGAAAATGTATAAATTTGTGATTTCGTTGTCTAATATCAAAATATTTTATTTGATTGGATGGAAATTTAGTGACGTGACGTT